TAACTTCTGAAACCTCTAGCATTTCAGAAATTACCTCTAGCTCGGTGACCACTGAAAGTCTTACCGTTTCTTCTAGTATGTCATCCTCCACGCCATCAGAAACTGAGCCAACAATTAGTGGATCATTCGAGAATGGAGAACTAAGTTGGATAGTTGATATTCCAGGCAATGTTGGACCTTGGACGTCTGTGGAGATCGAAGGTTCCAGCAGTAGTGGCTTCATGTTCAGTGATATCAAATACGTTGTCGACAAAATTAGATATCCAGTCAACACTACAGACTTATCATCATTTGATGTATTGTCTGAGTTGTACTCGTCTGACGGTTTCCGTGTTGAGCTCAAAGGTAAGATTATTAGTGGAACTACCTTTACTGTTAAAGCAAACGTGAGTGTCACTATCCCTGATACTGCTAGATTTGCAAAGAGAGAGGTACTTGTTTGGGAATTGAGCGACACTGTCTCACTTGATTCGTCATCGTCTGAGTCATCGGCATCACAATCATCTACTGTCTCTACATCAGAAGACTCCTCCACAACTGAATCTTCAAGCACCGTCAACTCTTCTTCGGAGAGTTCTCAGTCCTCCACAGTTTTACCTTCTAGCTCAACAACTACCTCCACCAGCTCGGACTCATCAAGTTCATCTGGAACTGAAGTGGAGCTCGACCCGGCTTCAGGATCATCTACTGTGACATCAGAGTCTTCCATTTCCTCTGAAGATCAAGCATCTTCAACTTTGACTTCTTCCGCTACGAGCGAGCTGCTATCTTCTAGTAGCTCGACCTCTGGCACCATTTCTTCTTTGATTTTATCCACTTCTAAGACTGGCACTGATTCCATTTCCACTGATGCTGTCGACTCTACGTCGTTAGAATCATCCGTCATCCCTGATGCTTCTTCCAGTGAGCTCGAGATTACTACTTCTGCAGGGTCATCGGTTTTGACAACCACTGCTACGGAAAATAACGAGAGTACCACTGTCGTTACTATCACTTCGTGTTCCGAGACTGTCTGTTCAGAGTCAGTAACCACTGCTGCTGTTACCACTGTTGTTACCACCATCGACAATGTTGTTACAACTTACACAACTTATTGTCCACTCACTGACACTACTAGTGCCACTGTTACTGAAAAGGAGGATAAGAGTACTAGTGTTGTGAAGCCAACAGGTGACAGTGACAATAGTGCATCCACTACTACCATTGGCGACACCAACACCATTGTGAAGACCATCACTTCTTGTTCTGCTGGAGTTTGCCACACCACTACCGTGTCGCCAGGTTCTACTCTCACTAGTACTTCCACTGGAGTAGGTTCTACCACAACTGGCTCTGGCTCTGGCTCTGGCTCTGGTTCTGGCTCTGGCTCTGGTTCTGGCTCTGGCTCTGGTTCTGGCTCTGGCTCTGTTGAGAATTTAGAGAATGTTGGTGAGGATGTTGGCACTAATGGTGCAACCGCAACCAACGCTGCTACCACCACCGTTGCTGCAGCCGGTACCACCCAGACTACCAAAGCAAATGCCAATGTTGCTGGTGACACTCAGGATATTACATCCACCGTCACTGAAGCTATTACAAAGACCAGAGTCCTTGCTTCGGGCGTCACCGCACCATCCGCAATCCTGTCTGCAACACCAGCTAACCCAGCAGACTCTCTCGTCACAGTTCCAACTGTCATTCAACCAAAGAGTACTCTGTCCACTTCAGCAGACTCCAATGAGTCCTCCTCAACTAGCTCCAGTGCCTCCACTCTGGCCACTACGGCTGCTATTACTACTTACGAAGGTGTTGGAAGTAACATCAAAGCCTCTGGGCTTTTCACTGTTATCTCTTCTATCATTCTGATGATTGTTTTCTGATTGTCTAGTGATACATAGTAATATACCCCTTTCTAAACTATGTGATATTTTAAGACTTGTTGTAGAGCTCTGTCTATAATGGCCTCATAGCTATCATTCTCACTAGATCATTGTCTCTTGTGCTCTACACAGCTGTTTCTATACATTCGGCATTTGATCCATTTTAGGATTAATTCTAATGCACCATGCTGCACGGTTCGCAGCAACGTCTAATTTTATTTTCGGGGTGTTTGTCAATCCAAGATTTCTCCATAAGATCACCAAATGACCTCCCACGATTGAGTGTACATTGCTGTAACATAGGCTTATATACAAAGTGAAAGCGCCTCTCCTTACTGGTATTTTCTGGAGTTCTCAGAAAGGCTAACTTTGAAACACAGGTCGTAAGAATAACTATGAAGGCTGAGTTCTCTAATGCCCATGATACGTCTGGCACAACATTGCACCGGTTCAGTGCGTTCTTATTAGCTTCTGTTGTATTGATTCTCGTCATCTTAGCCAGTCCTTCATGGATTCTTGATCCTTATAATAAGTTGTTTCCAAAGAGCCATGAAACATTTGAAATCACACCAGTCACACGGGAAAATGCCAGTGCGATCTTCAACACCGTGCAAGGTGCTCTGAGAAACAAGAATGCTCAAATTGAACCTATTGGTGTCAGCTTCATACCAGCATACATCCCAGAAGGCACGTTGTTGTACCATGGGAATGGAGATGGTCAAATTCCAGAGGGCCCAGAATGGATTGCCATGGACCATGAGTTCAGTCAAAACTTCATCGCAGATAGAGCCGGGCCTCACATCGGTCATGGTCATCGCTCTTCCACTCGTGCTGCTGAGAAGGGAAGAGGACATCCGGGTAGATTCCATGGACCACCACGAGATTCTGAAGATAAGCATACCTCACTACTGACGTTTCGTGTCAAGAAACCTTTGAGTCGAATGATCCTCCTGGATGGCTCCTCTGCTGCAAAAACTGAAACTGGTGAGATGGATCAACAGTATATCCTTGCTGGGATAGAGAATGTATCGAGCCCGTTTGTTGGTGAGCGTGAATCATCTGTCAAGATCTGTGAATGGGGGAAACAGTTTGGATTGGATGGATATATTCGTGTTGAAGTTGGATTTGAAGTTGTCATATGTGACTTCTTTGACAAGTTGGAGTTGACCAGCAATGTCACTCTAGATTGGGGGAATAACACTTTGAATTTGCCCTTGGAACTAACTGATGAACATCTAATGGATGAATATGCTTCATTGTGGGACTCCGTCAGTGCCATGGGGAGCTACGATTGGGCCAAGATGGGCAACGTCCATGATAAGAGAGAAGGCCGTATTCTGCTGGACTTCTCCAAGCTCCAGACCATGCTCAACAGAACATATGTTGGTACTGATCCCTACACCAGAAGAATATACAATGTGTCCAAAGATCTGAGACAGGACTTGAAAAGAGACCTCGCACAATCGCTGGAGGGAGGAGTAGATCCCTATGGTGGTACTAATTGGCAGCTACTAACCACCGAGATTGTTGACAAATTCTCTCCTATTTTACAGATGATCAATTCGAGCTTGAGCGATGAGCACTCAGACGGTGTGTCAAAGGCAAAGAACCTGACAGTGTTCACCACTAACTTTGTACGGAGGTTTCTTTCTTGGGAAGAAGGTGCGTCCATTGAAGAGAGAATCTTGGCTGCTAAAAACAGGGCTCTGGAACAGTATGTACATCCACTCCAACCTTTGAGATCCAAGTCGGATGCATTGATATTGTCTTCAATTCGCCGGGTTACACAAATGATCATCGAGACTGTATTCGATTCATTCTTTGTATCCAGGGACATCTTAGATGACTATTTCTTGAAGAACGAAATCGATTTTACAGGACTGGACGAGCTGAAATACCAAGTTGTTGATCTTCTCGAGGTGTTAAGATGGGAGTCTACCTATTATACCTGTTCTTCCAGATGTTCGTGGGATGAGATCTGTTATACGCCTTCTTGGGGTCCGTCCCCACTGGGATGGGACAGCTCATTCGGCACTTTTACAGACTCCTATGGGAAGGTGAGAATCTCTGCAGAGCTACAGTGTGTAAGTTACAAGACGATTCTAGCACTGGGCCACAAGGAATGGTAACCATCGTTTCATTTGTGTGTGTGTGTATATGCTATTTTTATTAGTATCATTCTAATATTAGCCTCTAATGTACTGGAAACGGTGATAGTGTTACCCGGCCGGCCGTCTCCTTCCAAGAAAACTGTTACCCGGCCGTCTGTTTCGAAAACTTCCAGTGCACCGCAAAAACGAGCGCTAGAGGGAATTTCAACCAATGAGAGCTCCATAAAGCACCAACACTGTGTCTTGTTCAAGAATCCCGTCAGTGAAGATGTTGCAGTGTTTGAAGCGTGCTGTCTGTTCGCTACCACAGGGCGTGAGAGGGTATCACGTGCCTTCTAAGTCCACGAGGGTGATAAAGGTGTATGAGCCGCTCTTAAAGGAGAAGAAGAAGACCAATGCCATGGAGAAGTTTTACGAGACTCAGAGGGCTAGGCTAGACCCTACCGGATGGAGATCGTCTCTGCTGAAGTCTGTGCGTCCAGGTGATGTTGTCAGAGTGATGTACACTTCCCGTGCGATCCCACCGTTTGTTGGACAAGTCATTGCGATGAGTAAGAAACAGCTGGACACCAACATCACGCTGAGAAACCAGGTGAGTAAAGTTGGTGTGGAGGTCAAGGTGAAGCTGTACAGTCCACTGGTGAGCAGAATCGACGTTATCAGAAAGCCACATGCTTATAAGAAGAGAAACAGACAGTACTACATCAGAGGTAACAGATTGGACGTTGGTGATTTGGAGGCATCCTTGAGAAAGAGATGATGCAGAGTTGTTGGCTATATAGTTTCTCATAGACGAGGGTATTCATGTATATATACAAGCTTTAAGAAAGGCGTAGCTTTGCTCAGAGCGAAATCATTTGTAAATCTGGTCAAATGGCCTTGTGTCGTTGAAGCAGCTCTCCCACACTTCATCCACCACTTTCTCAGCCTGCTCTTTATCCTTGCAGCCAGGGTTGGCCATGACACTCAACACTGCCCTTCTCTTGACACATTCCTGATGGCCACGTCCAAAGTTCTTAATGGCTGCTCTCTTGAACTGGTTCATTATACGGCACTCGCCACTCAGAGAACTTGCCCTGATCTCTGAGCACGCATGGTGCTTCAAGTTCAGCCAGTCGACTTTGAACTTGGAGTCGTCATACGCATGGACCAGCTCATGTGCCAGAGTATCCTCCAGGTGCCACTTATCGATGATTCTATTCTGACAGAGTAATACTCCGAGCTCTGGATGGTAGCCACCACCTTTCCACTCATCACAAACGTCACACACAATGTCCTTAGCACTCACATCTCCACCACTCTTCTTGATCTGCTGGAGCATAAAGATCACAATCGGTGAGTAGTTGATGGCCCAATCACGATATTCATAGCACTGTTTACATTCGTCTTGAACTTGTTTGTCTTTGAGGTCCTTTTCGTATTCCACAACGTCCTCCTTCTTCATGAAGCCTGTCTTATAGGCCATTGACCTTCTCCACCACTCAAAGGACATTGTCTTGATCTGTGATGTCTCTTGTCTTTGATGCGGTTTAACTTTGATGTCCTGGATCTTTAACGACAAATGTCCAAACCTTTTTCGAGGGGAAATTTAATGTCTCGACTTGGCCGAAAATTTTATCTCATCGGACAAGACACTTGACCAGACATAAGGACAGAGACATAAGGACAGAGACATAAGGACAGAGACATAAGGACAAACAATGAATATTTGGACACTCTGCGCCGATGATAAAAGGGATCAGATAGCTAAGCTCCTCGAATCAGGAACATCACCAAACATCAAAGACCCAAATGGCTACACCCCATTGCACGCTGCTGCCTCTTACAACCATGGAGATCTCCTGAGGCTGCTGGTAGATAAGGGTGGTGATGTCAACATCCAAGATAACGATGGTGATACTCCCTTGCACCATGTTGAGGATTTAGAGATGTGTAAACTGTTGATAGAATTGGGAGCCGACTGGAAGATAAGGAACTTGGAGGGCCAAACAGCAAAGGAGATGATTGAGGAGGATGGTGAATTCATGGACGTGGTCAACTACCTCCAATCATTGATACATGGTGCTGACGCACCAGTGGAAGAGAAAGATGAGCAATTGAAACTACCAGAGGGTCAGCAATTACGCTACGAATACCAGAACCCAGGTGATATAGAGATTGCCATTGATGAAGAACAGAGACAGGAGCTTAGAAGGATAGTGGAGGGTGAAAATCCAGAGGAAAAACTGAAGGATTTCCTCACAAAACAAGTCCATGAGCAGTTCTACAACGGTGAAGGCAGTGATGCAAAGAGAGAGAGAAAAGAGTAGACACACAATTTTGTTTATCAAATTATTTGTAGTATAAGCAGTGTAGGAAAGAATTACATGATAACACAGCACTTTGAGGATGATTGGCCCTCTGAGGATGATACATTATTAGACTGGGATCCACGTGCTGCTGCTGCGTTAGCAGAATCGTTAGTTCCATTACCAGCTGTGGTTCTCTTGTTACCTTCATAACGTTTTTGTAGAGCCTTTGCTACTCTTTGGTCTTCTTCTTCTTGCATTTGTCTGGCCAGTGCTTCATCTTCATCTTCATCCTCAACGGTTTCACCTTCGACAAGAGGCTGGAAGTTACCTGTGAAGAAAGAGTTTATAGAACCGTTAACACTGAGTAGACTTTCCCAGACGAAATCTCTCTTCTTCAAAAAGCCTTGGTCAGTCACGAGCTGGTAAACATCCAGTTCATGTTTGATGATGGTGTTGAAGTGGTTGTTTCTGAAGAAAACACAGATTTCCTCGTCCAATAGGGATCTCTTTAGCACTCCTAGACCATAATCGGTCAGTTGCGTCGCTGTGTGAGCCATGAACCGTTTCAAAGCCTCAGAGTCTTCAATTATCTCGCCTTGCGTCTCACCAGCCTGCTGTTTCTCATAGGCTTCAACCAACACACCCTGCGCCTCTTCATAGGAGTTATGCTTGATAACGTTGGCATATTCCGGAGACTGTGGGTCAATTATCCAGCCATGGACAATCTTTAGCCCGAAAACGTCAAACACAGACACCTCCACACTCGGAGTGAATCCACCAGCAAAGTGCGGATCAACGTTCAACCCTTCATTGAGAGAAGGTAACAAGTTCAAGATGGCCTGTGTCTCCTCAGGAGTGGCTCCTCGTTGCTGTAGATTATTCACAGCCAATGAGTAAAGAATCGGCTGTATAGATTCCAGAGCAACCGTACGTTCACCACTGTTAACGAGTGCAACCAATTGGTGATGTTCAGCAGGACTCTGATCGGTAGTTTGCAGTAGAATGGTATTCACAATTGCCAACAGGGCACATGGTCCATTGACGGACTGCGAGAGGATGGACCGTTTACCGTGGAAATAGATCGACTTAACTTCAAATGACATCTCGATCTCCCAACCACTTCGTGATATCTCTGTGACAACAAAGAGTAGAAAACAGGCGAAGTTTCAAGGGGCAATTCTCGAAAGCTGGTTGTCCTTTTGAACTACAAAATGTAAACATTTATAATGTCTTGTCCGTCTTCGCTCGCGCAAGTTCGGAAGTGGCTGGATGCGCCTCAATGTGATCCTTGCAGCACATCCAGACACCACTCTAGCCTCGGAACTCACACGTGACTTGTATTGAATTACGGTGCTACTCATGTGATGTATCACGTGATGAGATTTTGTTTTTTGGCCTGAGCGCATTTTTGTTGGGGCAAGTGGGAAAGTGATAACCTCGTTCAAGAAAAGTCATCCATTTCGCCTCCGTCATCCCTCTTTTCGCCACTGTTTTGGTTAAAGACTACGTCTTCGTAACAAGTCAAGAGCAAATGTCTGAACAATTTACCCTTAAAGTGAGCTGAAGCTGCTGTCCCGG